AAATGTAATTGATAATTAATTGGCATTAAAAGAAAAATCAAATAGAGAATTATATCTTTACCTTCATCAAATAAATTCATTATGTGCATCAACAAAAGTGTATCTTATTTCTTATTGGTTCATTGAGGTTTGCAAAGTTAACATCATTCATTGGGTTAATAAAATATATTATCTCAATATGTATATGTGTGTGTGTATGGAAGGTTCAAACGATAACCCATGTGATTTACGAGAACGTTAGAACAGTCTATACGTCAAACATTATTTTTTGTAATCACAATTTAAGAGAAGTTATGGGATTTTTCAAATTTAAATTAATATTTAAAAGACGTTGAAAGGTAAAAATGGAAAAAGAAAATGCAAATCATATAACACGAACAAGCAGTGCCGATGATTGTGGGGGTGATAAGCTTAGTCGTTCGACATCATGATCACGTGAGTCGATAAAGAAGAGTAGTAGGCAAAAACGATATCAGTATCACAAGAATCGATAGAAAAGAGTATTAGGGAAAAATCGAACTCATATATACAAGGCATCCACATTGGAGGCAGCGAGAAAGAATACGCACTCGTCGGGCGAGAAGATGTATGGCATATGTATCACATTTGTTACATAGAATTATTAGGACAAAGTCGAAGTATCACATCTTTATCACATAACTTCCTATCAAAGGTTGTATTTAACAACTGATTTGGTGTGATATCACGTATTTATCACACTTATTAGATAGAAATATTAGGCCAAAATCGAATGTGAGAACATGTTAAATCGTTGATATTGTTGTGGTATCACACAGATAGAAATATTACGGCAAAATCGAAGTAACACATCTATATCATATTACCTCTATTTTGAATACTATTTGTATTGAATTAATGATTTGATGTGATATCACCACGTATTTATCACACTTATTAGAAAAAATTATTAGGGCAAAATCTAAGGTGAGAATATGTTAAATTGTTTTTATTGTTATGGTATCACGTATTTATCACAGTTAACACTTCGAGTCGAGCAAGATGATCGAAAACAATCAGAGACATGATTGGATTCAAATCGAAAATCATATGATAATTACAATTAATCAAAACAATATTAAAATGATAGAAAATAGATAATTTCATGACTACCCTTAATGATTTATTATAATTTAAATTATTAGTTAATAAAATTTGATGCCCATGATTGTTCTCGCCTTTTGACAAAACATGGGGGTCCTCGTTTGAACTTCCGCGCGCGCGCGCACACACACACACACACACACACACATATATATATATATATATGAGGAGTGATGAAATGCAAACCACCCAATTTGTACAAACCATGCAAACCATCCTCATCCGTCGATTTCATTGTTTAATCTTATGAAAAATTTTCATGAAATTGTTTAATCTTGTTTAATTGTTTCATATAATACTTTTTTTTTGATGAAGTTGTTTCATATATGGTGATAAAATTGTTTCATATAATATTTAATGAAATTTTTATGAAACTGTTTCATGTATTTTTCTAAAATTAAAATAATGAAAATGATATATCCATGATTAACACCCTCCACAATAAAAATGATTAATCAACCTCTCTTAATTACAAAAAAATGAACAAAATGAAAAATTATGATTGGATGAGGATAGTTTGCACGGTTTGTACAAATTGGTTGGTTTGCATTTGATCGATCTCTCTCTCTCTCTCTTTATATATATATATATATATATATATATATAAAGAGAGAGAGAGAGAGAGAGAGAGGAGTACGAGACTGATAACTAAATAAAAAAATAAGAGAAAAAATTTCAGCCGATCATTTATTTAAATCATGTCTTACATAAAATTTTGTTAAAAATCGCCCAAAAAGGTATATGTGTCTTTTGTTGCATATGGATTATATATATAAATATATTTATTTCTATATGAATTATTTAATTCATTATTTAAGATTTTTTTTGTAGTTTTTGTGATTTAAGCATGATTAATTTTTTTATTTTATGACGTTTAAAATATTTTTTAATGGATTAAATTGTTTAAAAAAATTATAATTTTCGTAAAAAATTACATGTGAAATCTATAATTAATCAACGTTTGTTTTTCCAAAAAAAAAGCTATTTTTTTTTTATCAAAATATCATATGTGATATATAGTAAGTTTAAGTGGAAAAGGAAATGTAAGTTATTCATGACATAACATGTGATATTTGTAATGAATTACGTTTTGAATCACATGAGATCCTATACATATTAAACATGTCTAACTACACATCACATGTGATTTTGTTTTAATTATTTTTCTTTATCAATATTTAATTTGAGTAACTGTTTTTCACGCTTTAAATCATATATAATTAGGAAAAAAATTACGAATTTTTTTAGAAAAATGTCAATTACTTGTGAATCAGATATGATTTTGACAAAAATTGTATTTTTTTTTAAATATTGTCTTAAATAAAAAAAATCTTTTCATAAGAATCAAATTACTTATTTTAAATATATGATATAATAAATATTTTTTAAAATAAAAAACTAAATCACAAAAAGGGTAAAATAAAGAATTTTAAATTAATGACATTTCCAGCAGATTCTTTAAAACAGAGATTTTTGAGATTTTTTTTTCCAACAAATTTTTTAAAGCTTCTCTAAAATGGAGAAAGTATGAGAGAGAGAATAAGAATATCTCCAATATTTTTCAAAAAAAGTGAACTAAAAGTAAAAAAATCATCTCGATTGAGTTGGTGTTCAGTGTACCGCTTCGTGGGATGTAAATAAATTTTACAATCATCTCCAACGTCTTCTCAAAATAAGTAATCATTTTTGGAGAAATCATTTTAAAATAAATTTTAAAATCTTTAAATAAATTGTACGGTCATCAAAAGTTAAAATCTGTTAAAGATTTTCATTGGTAGGAAAATTAAAAAATAGTTTCAATATCTTCATCTCCAACATATTCTCTATTTTATAGATTACACAATTATATTATTTATATACTTCATACAACTTATAAGAAACATTTTTGAAGAAATCTCCAAATTTATATGGACAAGAACATCTCAAATGTATTGTCCATCATTTTTCTAAAATAGATAACCAAAAGTTAAGATCTCCAAAATAAATTACATTAAACTCTAACAGATTCTCTATTTTAAATATTTCATTATTAATTATATTATTTAAATATTCTATAATCTTATGGTACTAATATATTTAAAAAGACTTTATATAAAATAATATTAATTTAATCCTCATTGGAAGAATGAATAAAAAGTAAAAACCCTATTCTCTCCACATAGGTGCTTATGGGTTGGGTTGATCGGGTTGAAGACATTTGAACAACCAACCCAATACTTGCGGTTTGAAAAATCTTAACCCAATTCAATCCAATCCAAACCAAAGTGCAACCCAAACCGTACGGGGTTGATCGGGTTGATACTTTGATATATTAAAAATATTATTTTAACCTTGAATACATTATTCCTCTACTCATAATTTCTTTTTCATCATCAATCATTTGATACAAATTATCATACTTCTTACGTATATCATATTCAATTAATTTTCTCAGTTTACATATATATGTTCACTGTTACTGAATATATATACAAATAAGTTATATAGAGATGAAGAATAGATTGAAAATATGTATATATGAATAGCGTACGTGATAGTGTAATTGTCTAGTGTACATATCAATATAAAATCAATAATCATATTAAATCCAAAAAATGAAAGGATAACGGGTTCATAAGGTTGGGTTGGGTTCAAATAATAGTAACCCAATACCTACGGTTTGAAAATTTTACAACTCGATTAGACACCGGGTTGTTTCGGGTTGAATTATTTCGCATTGGGTTAAGTTGGGTTGGTCGAGTTTTTGAGCACCCCTACTCTCCTTAGAGTTTTAGATAATTTCCTGTATTAGAAGTTTTCTTCATGATTCTCTATTTTAGAGAACTAGAAGGGTACTCGCAAAATGCATCGAGACACATCTCAATTTTAATGTTTTGTTTTATTCTTTGTCTCCGTTGATTTTACAATATGGTTTTATACGGTTTTGAGAAAACGATAATTTTTTATATTTTAATACAATATAAGTTTGAAGATGTTATAAAATTTTGAAAAATAGGTTGTTTATCTTGTATTTGATGTTGTTTATCTGCAGTTAGTTACACAAATTCAAGAATAAAGCTTTAATAAGTTGTATTTATGTATAATTTAATTGTAATATTGAATTTTAAGTAATACATCAATGACCAATACTTGATGTATAACACCTGAAATTCAAGATTACAATTAAATTACGCATAAATATAACTTATTAACATTTAGGGATTGTTCATTTCGTTTTCTATCAAAACCCGTATGAATAAAGCTATGCAAATTGATAAAGTTGTTTATATGTTAACAAATAAATTGTTGTTTGGTTGTTATCTTAAATAAACGGTCTCAATGTGATAAATGATTCTTTATTTTATCCGATCATTTTAAACCCAATTCCAAACCATTATTCTCAAAACCAAAATCTTAAATTTTACTGCATCTTCGTTTACAACCCATGTTCACTGCATCTAAACCAAAACCAGTTGCTTTTTCGAAATGGAGGCCATGGTGGTGGGAAGTGCCAGAAAGAGAGATCAAGAGGTGGGGAAGGACGAAGACTAATGGGAAAAAGACAATAATAACATATCTTTGATGGTAAAAGAGATGAATAGAACACATGATTGAAGGATTGAATAGCATATATAAACAGATTTTTTGATGGAACAAAGATCAACAAATCAACGAAGAAGGAAGGTTATACCATTGAAGCCATGTGGATGAAGCATTAGGTGAGGAGCAGTGAAGGGTAAAAGGGGATGAAGACAAAAAGTCATACCACTCTTTATATGTATTATGTGGCTGCTATTTTCTGCACGATACTAGTACAACTCTCTTCAAAGTCATACCACAAGTCAATAAAAACCTATTTAAGCAGTAATTAGCAAAGAAAGATCCACAACGGAGAGAAGATGGCAAATGGTGGCTGCAAACCAGATGGGTCTCTGAATCAATCAAAGTTCGATGAACCCATGCCATGGATCGGCATCTACGTAGCAACTGCATCTTTAACCTGTGCCACAGCCATCGCCATAGATACTCTACATGCCTTCAAGTACAAAAGATTCTGGTTCCCTTGCAAATTCTTTTCCCTTAACGCCACAACCCTAACTCTGATAACCATAGCCATCAAATTCTCCATGGATCTAAATTCCACCATGCCTCACCGTCAAGATCAGCTAGCAAAAGTAAGCAGCTCTGCTTTCATATGTACGGTAATGGCTGACTTGTTGCCTTCTTTAGGAACCATGAAAAATACTGAATTGTTCATCAGTATTATAGCTTTGGTGATTCTTGTTATCACTGTCATCTCCAACATCTGCATACAAATGGGTACTGGGGTTATCTTTGTTTTCTGGATAGAACATGCTATCATTCTATTCATCATGCTTATTTTACTTGCAATTGTGTGTTCTTTGTCTTTGGCTGTTCCAACCACAAAGTCTTACTTGGATATAAAATATACCCAGAAACTGAAATTGACAAACATCGAATGCTTCAGAAAGAAAAGTTCATCGATAACCGAAGGAATTAGGGAAGATTTAAGAAAATATTGGATCTTGGCGTATTCTTCGAGTCCTCAATTTGTGATCGGACGGTCAGCACCATGCACAGCCTCAGGTGCATTTTGTCTTCTAAATAGTCTGATCTTAGTAGAGGCAGTACTCAGATCCTACTTGATGCCATGGTCTCTTAAGTTCTGCAATGGAGAATCTGATTATAAGTGGTCAACTACAACGGTGCTCATAAGTCAAAGCATAGCAGTGGGGATAGGTACAATAGCACCTGCAGTTAGATGGTTCATGGCTATCAATTTCAGCTCTTCAAACAAAGCAAAACAGGCTTGTAATAGAGAGTTGGGTGTGGAGATTTACTGGATAAAGAAGCTACTTGAGTGGCAATTGCAGCCATTGGACTTCAAAATCAGTGGCCACCATGGCAGAAAGTTGGTTCTTAGAGCAAAGTATCGTACTCTTAGATTCTTTATTGGATTGCAGAGAGGGATTGTTTTTTCATGTCAAATTATTAGGCTCGTTTCCATCTTCTTTGTAGGTAGGTTCTTGGATTTAAAGAGGTTTATTAGATGCAAAAACAGTATTTCCAGCAACGACACAGAGTTGGGATTGAATCTAAGTCGTTATGTCATTCATCTTGGTGGAGAAGAACATCTGGTGGACCTGATCATGAAAAACAACCCTGACGCCACTGATCACTGGATCAAACTCGGTGAAACCCAGAAGCCACAGAATCTCATAAAACTTCTTGAGAAAGTTGATTCTTCATCGGCATTTACAGGAGTTGGAGAGTTTGATAATGACAGTGTTCCATCGCTAGGTTTTGCAGAACCTCCCAACTGTTGGGGGCTCCCAGTTGTGACGTTAACAAGCATCGCACTTGCGCTTCCCTCCATCGATCAAGAATTAATCAAGCAGCTGGTTAGCAGTGTACACGAAGGCTTAAAGTACGTCAGAGAGATTGAAAACAATCTGGATGAGAAGATAAACTTGAAAAATGTAAGAATGGCAGAAGAAATAGTTTGGTCAGGAGTCGAACTGGATCGCAAATGGTTAGATGTTGATCTTTGCAAGATACGACTTAAAGGAAACGGGATTAAAGAAACCATCAAATCCCTTTCTGATATTTCAAAGAAAAGATTCATGGAGTACGGGGAGATACATTTGATGCATTCAAATGAGTGGTTTCAAAATGAGGAGCCATCTCGATGGTGTATCAGATTACTGGCTGCAAATTCTATGTACAGAATATGTGAAACCATTCTGTTGTCACCCGAACTCGAATCCCACGAAAGCAGCCAGAGATTATTTGAAAAGTTATCGCTCATGATTTGTAAAATATATTCGGCTTCTTTCACTAACCTTCAACACGTAATTTCCAAAGAATGCCGCGAGAGTGGGATCGAGGAAAGAGAGCTGAATATCCGGCATGCGCTTCTTCTCTTTGGGGAAACACAAGAGATTCTAAGAATTCTCGACATGAAAAAGATTCAAGATTTAAATCCGGGACAGTTGGTACACATCGATGAATGGCATCTATTGTGCAACCGCAAGCAGACAGATTCACTAAGCTACGTTTCTTCTTCGACCAATAAGGAATCAACCATCTTTAGCCCGTCTAGTCTCCATATATCTATAGAGTAAATATACGAATTTAAAATACTGATAGTTTTGAAAGTTTATTTGATTGTTAACTTTAAAAACTTATAAAATCAATCAAAAATACACATAACTTGTATGATTTGGTTACAATTACAAAATCTTGGCGTTTAACTTTTGTTAAATAATTTATATACATATGTATAATTATATTTACATTATTACCAAAGAATTATAAACATATATATATATATATATATATATAATTTTTTTTTTTAGGGTTATGAAAATTTATTTTACTTAATCATTTAAAGATAAAATAATCAGAATTATTAACAATATATATATAATTACTACAATTATGAGGTTGTTAATTGTTGCAAGTATTTTTGTGCGAGTTTGTTTTCAACAACACTGAGGTCATCGTTTTTGTTAGAAATGTGTGTTAATAAAAATATATAATTGAGAAACATCTTAATCGATCAAAAAAAAATGAACCTTAGCAATTTAAAATTAAAAAGTCGGATTTATTGACTAAGTCGTGTATGTGTATATAAGACGAAATATTTATAATCAAATGACGTTTGATTCATAGAACGTTTTTAGAATATATCTAAAGAACTGGAATTGAATCTCAAAAAATATGACGTGTTTTATTGGCAAGAATAGGAATACAACTTGTTAAACAAATTGACAAAAATGGAAAATAATACTTGGGATAGTTTGTTTTTTTCGCCTCGAGGTGGTGGTTGGCGTATGGTGATTGAGGGTAAAATAGTCTTTTTATTCTCGATACAATTGACATCCTTGCTACATGAAAGGAATCGAAAAATGACTTATTTAGTAAGTTTTTAGAATGAGACTTTTATGCAAAAACTCAAGTTCTTTTCCAAACACATCCCTCCCAATTAAAGAACACGATCTTTCCATCTATGAAAAAACCCTATGAAACAAAAACATTTTTAATATATACAAACAACTGTATCCATACAAGACATAATGGAAAACCAACCAAACAACCCCTTGATGTCATCTTTTAACATATAGTTGTATACATGATCATGAGTTTCAACACAAAATAATAATGCACATCCAAATCAAAATCACTTCCAACTAATCATGATTACTAGACAATAATATATAGAAGTTGCAGTCAATAATTAAGTTTTAGTTTGAATATTATTTATTAAAATTACTAATAACGAAAAAGATCCATGAAGGTAGTTGAAGGTTAGTTAAAACCTCTACACAATTTCCAATCAGCACTTCCAGGCTGAAACAGCCATCAGCTCACGCTTCTTCCAGCAAAGCACAAGCGACCCATGCCTCTTCTCTACATCAAACCCCCTAACTTCACTCCTCTTCACAACACAATCTGCTTGCGCTTCTGCAAAATTACTTAATCCCACCGCCAAGTAACCGCCCGCAGTGAACAGTGTCTTCCAATGCGCCATGGGCTCCGGGAACTCGACTTTTCCCATCACCATGCTTTCAATTTGAGGCTGCAACAAGAACTTTTCGATCTTGTTAGCTGTGTATGAAGGAATGTTGGCAGCACCAATGGATTCCAATAGAGCTTCATAGTACTGAAGACCCTCCATGAGATACTGTGGGAAGGTTAGATCTGTCCTTTCACATCCTCGATCAAGCGACACCACTATCTTCGGAGAAAGCTGTTTTATGAAGTGCAGAAGGGAGGGAATGGCAGCTAAGTGGGTTGAAGTTGACCAGATTGGGAAGTTCACACCAACTGCCGCCTTCCCGGAAACCAAAAACGAGTTAGGATCAAAAGAATCGAAGTTTACAACTTCAAGCTCGAACGAAATCCCGATTTCTTGAGCAAACTGTGAAAGGTTTTCATGCATGAGACCGAGTTCAACGGGGTGGTGAGTCGAAGGTGAAGCAAATGCAGTTATCTTCAATGAACAACCACCACCATTGGTGTTTGTTCTTCGAGGAAGTTCTTGTATGAAAGAAGCCCATTGAGCACCAAACCCAATATCAAAATCGATAATGTGGATGTTATCAGCGTCATCAAGGGCTTCAAGTAGTGCTTGATTTGAAGTAAAATTCATAAACTGTATAATTGGAGAAACTTCTGAAAGGACTTTATAAGCGCACATCTTGAACATGCCATTGGAGGGTGAGGGAACAACCCTCCGGGGGAGGGAAGTTGGATTACATTTCGAAATCAGAAAAGCCATTTGCATTTGCAGAGCTTCTTTGAAGTAAAAACCAGACCTTTCAATAGGCTTATATGGTGCCATGGCTGAAGGAAGCTGGTGATTGAGCCGCGCCAATATCCCTTGCGCATGGGAGAAATTTCCAGATAGCATTAGCTCAGCCGCGGCGTATAGCGGGTCACAGATAAGCTGTTTCTGGTGGTAATGGGGCGGTGGAGGAGCGGCACCTGGTGGTGATAGTGGTTCTTGCTTTGCCACAACTGCCATCATTGATCTCTGTTGGTGGAGTGACAATAGCTGATTTTGTTTCTTGAGTAGAAATTCATGACTCTGGTCGAAAGCCGGAGGTTTTTGAAGACTCGATTGGTGAAACTGAATCTCAAGCGGCGGTGGCGGTGGTTGTGGTTGCTGTGAGGGTGGGTTTACAATCATTTGTGAGTTGAAATTTTGTGGGTTTTGACCTGGGTAAAGGAAGGGGAAGAAGCTGGGGAGTTGAGGGGGTGATGAGCTTTTGAAAACGGTGGTGGGAGGGGCATTTTCGTCAATTTGGTTGCCCTGCAAGAGCTGTTTGAGGCTAAAGGAAGTGTCATCAACGTCACCTGAAATCCACCGGAGAAGGGATTGATCCTGGTCCTGCACCTGAGAACCACCGGATTCAGATAACAACCTTTCCCAGTCATCTAATCCAACCCCAAATCTTTTTTGTTGTGGTTCAAATTCCGCAGAAATGGGCTGTAGCTCCGACCACTCGTCTTTCCGGCAACCACCTGCGATGGTGGCAAGGTTTGCCAGAGACCCAGAAACACCCATTTCCAGGGGAACAGAATATTCCGGCCAGTTTTGTTGGATGTTGTTGTCTGATACACCTACAGTCGCTGCGTTGTTGTTGGCTGCACCGCCGCCGAAGGAGGAGGAAAGATTGGATATAGAAGTTGAAGGGCTAGGGCTCCGCCGTGTGTCAAGAACAGAGATTGGTTCATTACTGTTATTGCTACCAAAGCTGCCTTCTTTGGAATCTATAGAAGGTGGGAAAACTGCAACTTCATGTGCCATTCCTCTCATCTATTTACAAACACGAATCAAACGATGATAATGAACAATAACTCTGAAGAATCTTGGGCTTCTATGTGGGGTTTTCCTTGAAGCTCTTAAATGAGCTAAAAATGAGCCTAATTAACCAGCAAAAGCAGATTAAAACCTCCACCAAAAGAAATGCAAAATCCAGGTTCTTTTTTGGTCCATTTTTGGGGGGTTTTGAAGCATTAAGATGATTGAACCCAAAAAAGAAAAGAAAACACAACAAGTAACTAGTTTCAAGAAATCTTGGATCTTTTTTGTGCAAAACTGAACAATTTTTTTGTGGGTTACTTGAGATTAAAAACATTAATGATTTGATTAAACAGAAAAAAAACAATTAAACAGCAACAAAAAATGAAGAAAATAAAAATGAACATCAGAACAAGTTTCAAGAAATCTTGGAGGTTTTTACTCCAAAAATGAACTTGCTTTGCGGGTTCTTTAAGATCTAAAGCATGAGATATGATTCCAAGCCCCCCAACCCCAAACGCGAAATGAAAACAAGGAAATGAGAAAGAACCAGTGAAGCATCCAGTTGGTTTCAAGAAATCTTGGGTCCAAAAATGAACATTTTTGTGAAGTTCTCAAGCATTGAGATGAGTGAACAGACTACAAACCCATCTAATAAGAAGAGAAAATTAGCAAACATAACAAGAAGAAAGATTCAAGAAATCTTTGTGGTTATTAAACAGAAACCCAAATCAAAAAAGAGAAAATGAAGCACATAAATCTTAATCTTGGGTTCAGATTTAGAGTGAAAATGAGGTTGAAGAAAGCAAACCTTTAATCTTCATCCACAGACATCACCATTTGACCTCCATCTCCATGGCTTCAAATTCTAATTCTAATTCTAATTCTAACTCTAACTCTAACTCCAATTAATTGAGAGTGATTTCGAGGGTGGATTCAATGTTGAGCCATGGACGGATGCGTGCATCATAAATTTTTAAAAAATTAAAAATAAAAGTGAAATAAGTTGCCCCTCTTTCACTCTCCTTCACTTTCCTAGTAAATATCGGAATACTCTTATATCCTCCCTCCTTTTGCTTATATATTTTTTTATTTTGGTTTGTATTTATATATATTAAAAAACGTCCAAGCTTTCAATGTGTATTATTTTCCCATAAATAATTTATTTAAAATTAAAATATTATTTTGTGTTTATTAAAATTAGACTAAACTTTAACTTTGGTCTCTGAGATTTAATTAATTTTTAAAGAGGTGGGCTAAATGCACCCTTATGCATTGCTTAATGCACCTCTACCATGAATTTCTTCTTCACACATATTAACATAAATGCATACTTTTTACATTCTCAATGCTTGAAATGACCTGATTCTGACATGAAAAAAGGTGCCATTAGCACTCCCCTTTTTAAAAAATGAAACCTGAATTTTGATAAGTCTAGAAATTATTCTTATAGTTTTCATTTTGTTTTGAAAATAATTGTTCGTCACTAACTCCGTTAACAATTTTCGTTAGAGTGATGAACGGTTTAGTCTTTTCACTTATTTTCTTAAATATTTTTAAAAAAATATATAATATATAATTTATACATTGTTTCTTATATTATATGTCATAGTTTTTAAAATTTATATATTAATAGTTTATATATTAAAAATATATACCATATGTACATAATAATAGTAATAAACAAAAAAATATATAGATTTAAAAGAAATATAGTATATAATTTAAGAAATAATACATAAATTATATATTATATTTTTCTAAGAATATTTAAGAAAATAGGTAAAAAGACTAAACCGTCTCTTACTCTATCGGAGATTGTTATTCGAGTTAGTGACCAAGGATAATTTTCAGAGCAAAAAGAAAACTATAAGAATAATTTATAGACTTATCAAAGTTCAAATCCTACTTTTAAAGATTTCATTAAACTTATGGACCAAAATTAGAGTTTACTCTTGAAATTCTTATCAAACGTTCATTTGGTAAAAAAAAAAAAATTAAAACTATATGAATTTTAAAGATTTCAGGATTTAAACTATTTTGATTGAAAATATTAAAGTTTTAATATCGTGAATTATTGGTCTTCTTAATCTAAAATAATGATCCTACATATTTGACCAAATATCCTAAACTTGATTGACTATGTAAATCTTTTAAGTATGGCATTATGGACATCTTTATTAAATGCATATGTACTTAATATAGGGTTTGTTCATGTCTTTTAAAGTGTATCATTCTAATTCAATATTAACTACTTTATATACTTTTAATACATCTTTTTAATTACTTAACACTAACTAATCGATTAGAAATAATTTACACTTGAATTATAACACTTTAACTTTTTTACTTATTAATTAAAAATGATATTATTTTGTCACACACTAAAAGAGGATAGTAACGGAACTATATTCTTTTTAAAGGTGGCACAATTTGACTATAAAAGAATATCTAATTTTTTTTTTTCACAAAACTAGTATAAACTTGTTGGTTTGTTTCTTATTCTTGTATAGAAAGGACCCATTTTTTTTTAGTCATGTTTGTATACATTCTTAAAAATACAAGAAGCATATAAAAAAACACTAAAACTTAAGCTAAAAAACAACAAATTTGACAATAGTGGAACTCGAACTCAGTTTTTTTGTACAAAAGCAGTAACATTTACCATTTCTACTGTTAAAGTATTTGCCAACATTTTAAACTATATAATGATACCTGATAATACAATATGCTACACTCTTTAATATAATGATACCTAATAATGGAACTCGAATCATTTAAGACCAACATGTTTTCGTGAGACCTATAATTTACACCGAATCTTTACAAAAAACACTTTAAAGATAAATCTTTATAATAAATTTTTATACATTCATAGTGTCTTATTAAATAAGTTGAGTATAAATCTTGTGAGCTTATAGATCTTTAAAAAAACAGACAAATCTGAGTAGAATCTAAGCCTCTGAGTGTATGCTTTTATTATCAGAGAGGAACGATATTTACACAAGAAGGAGGATGGACAAGTTTTTTTTTTCTTTTCTTGTGTGTGTGGAAATGTGGATTGAGGGGACACGTGTACAAGAATTTGAAAAACGAAATACCAGTTGAGGGACTATTTAAAAGAAGGTGGGGTCAGGCTAGTCAATGTGCTGTCAACGTTCTAGAACTACTACATGGAAGGTGTATAACACGCCACATGGCCAGCGCGTTGGTCAATGCAAAGTCATCAACCTAAGAAAGGACGGCGGCACGACAAAAACCCTCTTCTTATTATTATTATTAGTTATTAATATAAAAACTACGGCGGTAAAAAGGTTTTGGATAGTAGGAGTAGTCATAATATAATAAATCAGAACTTTCTTGTCATCTTCAAAAGCTACCCTCTTTCTACCTCACTTCTTTCTACACATCTATCCATGTCTTTAATATAGTCTCACAAATAAAAATAAATAAAAATAAAAAATAAAAAAGTTGATATTAGGTAAATCCAACCTTATATATATTATATATATAACTCATTGTAACTGGTCTATATGTGTGTGTTGGTATGTCTATTTCAAACTCTTGTATTTTCTATTTTTATTAATTTAAGTTTAAAAATATACGTTTAAGCATGGAAGATTGGTTAAAATAATCATTTTTTTCATATAAATTGGTCTTTTAGTTATTTATTTTTATGATTTACCCAAATTTCATTACATATACAAGTTCTATTTCCGTCACTTGCAGATCCATCTAAAAGAAAAAAAATTGTCAGATTTAACTCAGGTCCATAATTGTGGCGGGATGGCCAAGTCTGCAATTGCGAATACCAAACCTACAATTTGATTTTTTTGTCTTTTATCTAGGTTCATAAATGGCATACGTAAAACTTACAGAGGTAGTAATATTTAGATAAATCAGGAAAAGAAATAATTAGGAGATCAATTTAAATATGAAGAATAACTATTTTGGCCGATTTTACTTAAAACATGTTGTGATGTCTTATTTTTATAGTTATATATCACCTTTACTTTGTCCCACAAAAAATATTGGCTAAATATAATATAGAGTAAATTATATTTTTCGTCCCTATCGTTTGTTAAAAAAAAATGGATTTTGTCCATCTCGTTTTGGAAATTTTAATTTTGGTCTCTATTGTTTGCAATTCATTTTTATTTTCGACTTTAAAGTCAAAACACTACTTTTAAGTAGGAAGGACTATAATAAAAATGAATTATAAACCATATAGACGAAAACAACAATAAACTTTAATCCTAAAGACAAAAAATGTAACGAATTATAAACCATAAGGATGAAAATCGTAATTTCAAAATCATAAGGATGAAAATAGAAATTTTCAACAAACCACAAGAATTACTCTATAATAATTGTTGTTTGAGTAATCACACATGAATGGATCGAACAACATTTCAAATACATTTTTTAGCATAACTGTAGGTATTTGAACCAACTTATAGACAACAGCTAATTCTCCAACCAGTCACAAAATGGCCTAGAATCATTAAAGATAAATCTCCATAGCCACAAAGACTTTGACAACACCTATACTCGAATCCAGAGAAAATGAGATTTTCACTACGTTCCTCCAAGCTTTAACCAGTGTCACAACCTAAGTGGTTTCCAAATACATTCACTTAACATATAAAAGGATTTATATTACATTTGTTGTATTAGCGTCTAACTCATAATTTTCTCATACAAGATAATGCGTCGAATATGTAATTCTACTTTTACCCTTTAGAGATCTCTAAACATTTATAGCACTCAACTTATCTTATTATATATAGCAGATATATTTACATTCAAGAATACAATCACGTATTATATATCAACATCCGTCTACATGTCCATCTCATGTTTTTGTTTCTTGACATTTACGTGGTTCTATAATCATCTAAATGTTACTTTTATGTGGTTAGGTGTGTTGTTTGACAACTTTATTTTTATTAACCTGGATATCCAACCCGCTATGCGAACCAACTAATCTCAGGACGACCACCTGC